CAAAAGAGCAAAAAGAGAATGAACGCGGAGACAAAAAGGCCCAGCATACTCACCGCGGTCCGCACCGCGGTTGGAGTCAGGGTTCTCCGCGGTCAGTGCCGCGGTCGACGCCGCGGCCGCGGCGGCATATTCACTGTCCAGAAATTTAAGGGGCCAAAATGTCAATTCAGGAAAGCTTTTGTAAAACCCTTATAAGATGTAGGAAACTCGCCCAAGAAAGAGGAGGCTTATTTTGAGATTATTTTTGCAAGAAGAACAAGTGTGAGAGATCACCCAAAACATCATAGTTCTTATTCTCTTCTATTTTTCTTGCAATTTTCCATTATGAATATTTTCGTAGTTTATTCTTAAGTTGTCATGAGTAGCTAAATACTTTAATTTAAGGTTTTGGTGAAACCCGTTGGGGATGACTTGGTTGTTATATTAATATAGTTTGAATTGGTTGTTAATCTCTATTTGTTCATCTACGTTTTGATTGTGGTTAGTTGAAAGGGACCTCAATTATTCGTTCCTATTTATTATGTATCTTCTTGAGAGAGACTGCATATTTAGGTAGTTGTTTGAACAACATCACTCCCGGCGTACAGACGAGAGTCATAACCGAGGGTTTAGAGATAGGATTAGAGATAACGATACCTCGGGTGCAATCTAAAAGAACGGTAATGTGAATCTAGCTAGCGTAGCTTGAGAGAGTGCGTCTAGTAAATTATCATAATTGCTTGAGAGAGATTTATGATAGCCGGAGAGTTCTTGATTGATAGAGACAACTAAGGCATCGCTATAAGAAACGTACAATCAAGGAAATCATCAACGGGGGAAACTATTACCTTAGACCTTATTCCAACTATTTACACATCAATCATAGTTAATTTTCAGCTGTTAATTATTTTCAGGCTTTAGTTGTTAGAAATATCATCAATTGTGAATTACAAGTTTGGGGAAATTGATTCTATGAATTTAGTAAATCTGTCAAAAGTAATTGATAGGTTAATTCTCTGTGGTTCGACTCTGGGCAGAATTACTCTGATTATATTTGCTACGTCCGTGTGTGTCTTTGTATAAGGCATAGTTTGGCGTTATCAAATTTTGGCGTCGTTGCCGGGGAATTAACGGTGTTATCAATTACAATTGGTGCCAGTACCATATCAAAAACCACAGGGCTATCCACAGCAAAATCAGCAACAATTGACATACCAACTACCCCCTCAGCAGCAAGATAACAACATGGTGGAAATCAGGAGTATGCTTCAGTAACTCATTGGGACAAATAATAAAGTGCAGGATAAATTGGCAGTGCATGATTCAGCCATAAAGAATATTGAAACGCAGTTGGGTTAGCTGTCCATGGCTTTGAACAACTGTCCTCAGGGAACTTTGCCTGCAGATACAAACATAAACCCCAAGGACAAAAACCCGAATCAGCTGATGGCAGTAAGTCTCCGGAATGGGAGAGATTTAGACAGAGAGCAGGAAATTGCACAAGCCAGCAAGGACACTACACCAGCCACTATAGTTCAATTAGAGGTAGAGGAACCAATAGAACTTACTGAAGTGGTGGTTGAGCAGAGTCAGGAGGAAAAAGGCAAAAGAAAAGATGAATGAGCAAGTTGCAGAACAAGTGGCACCTCTTGTGCTAGAAAATTCTAATAGAGAGAAGCCAGCAAGCAATGCACAAAGGGTGATACCTGCACCCTTCCCTTAGAGACTGGTCAAACAAAAGAAGGCAGACCAATATAAGAAGTTCATGGAGACGCTGCGTCAAATTCAGTTGAATATTCCTTTGATGGATGCCTTGAGAGAGATGCCCGGTTATGCCAAGATGATGAAAGATCTAATGTCACGGAATTTTATTTTCAGGATCTATCCACTGTAACTTTGACACAGACCTGCAGCGCAGTGGTGGCAAAACCGATGGCTCAAAAGATGTCGGACCCAGGTAGCTTCACTATTCCATGCACAATTGGAAGTTATGCCTTTGCAAAGGCGTTGTGTGATTTGGGAGCCAGCATAAACCTGATGCCGCTGGCTGTGTACACCAAACTAGGCATTGGTAGAGCTAGGCCAACTTTGATGCTGCTACAGCTGGCTGACCGCACAGTGAAGAGGCCCACTAGTATTCTTGATGATGTGTTAGTACAAGTGGGGAAATTTGTGTTCCCTGCACACTTTGTTATCTTGAATTGTCAGGTGGATGAGGAGATACCCCTTATTTTAGGGAGACCATTTTTAGCCACGGGGAGAGCACTGATCGACTGTGAAACTGGGGAATTAAAAATGAGATTGAACGATGAAGAAGTCATATTCAATGTTCAACAATCTATGAGGAGGCTTATTTTGATATTACTTTTGCAAGAAGAACAAGTGTGAGAGATCACCCAAAACATCATAGTTCTTATTCTCTTCTATTTTTCTTGCAATTTTCCATTATGAATATTTTTGTAGTTTATTCTTACGTTGTCATGAGTAGCTAAATACTTTAATCTAAGGTTTTGGTGAAACCCGTTGGGGATGACTTGGTTGTTATATTAATATAGTTTGAATTAGTTGTTAATCTCTATTTGTTAATCTACTTTTGATTGTGGTTAGTTGAAAGGGCCCTCAATTATCCGTTCCTATTTATTATGTATCTTCTTGAGAGAGAGTGCATATTTAGGTAGTTATTTGAACAACATCACTCCCGGAGTACAAACGAGAGTCATAACCGAGGATTTAGATATTGGATTAGAGATAACGATACCTCGGGTGCAATCTAAAAGAACGGTAATGTGAATCTAGCTAGCGTAGCTTGAGAGAGTGCATTCAGTAAATTATCATAATTGTTTGAGAGAGATTTATGATAGCCGGAGAGTTCTTGATTGATAGAGACAACTAAGGCATCGCTATAAGAAATGTACAACCAAGGAAATCACCAACTGGGGAAACCATTACCTTAGACCTTATTCCAACTGTTTACAAATCAATCATAGTTAATTTTCAGCTGTTAATTATATTCAGACTTTAGTTGTTTGAAATATCATCAATTGTGAATTACAAGTTTGGGAAAATTGATTCTATGAATTTAGTAAATCCGTCAAAAGTAATTGATAGGTTAATTCTCTGTGGTTCGACTCTGGGCAGAATTACTCAGATTATATTTGCTACGTCCGTGTGTGTCTTTGTATAAGGCATAGTTTGGCGTTATCAAATTTTGGCGTCGCTGCCGGGGAATTAATGGTGTTATCAATTACAATTGAGAGAAGTACAAAAATTCTAAGTGTAGTCAGTTTTCTCTATACCCAATCTTTTCATTGAAATTCTAACGTTTGAACTCTTGTGGAAAGCAGGTGTATGCCTAGAAGTTCTTCGAGGACTGGAGAACTACTAGAAGGACTCTCAGACCCCGAGAAAACATTTAGGGCATTGAACCGTGCCAACAAAAGACTTCAAATCTCAACAATCACACCAACTTGAATTTGACATGGGTGACGTAGATAACGTCAACGGAAATGTCAGGAATGAGCCAGCTGACTTAAATGTCAGAAGGGTGGCACCTCTTGTGCCCGAAGCTGCACTTTATGACTGGGCACAGCCCACAACTGATAATCTAGCACTGCCATAGCTGTGCCCGCAATTCAAGTGGAGACATTCCAGATCACCAACAACATACTGCATCTGCTGCAGAATAAAGGACTGTTCTCTGGGTCACACATTGAAGACCCGCAACAACACTTGAAGAATTTTCTGTCAGTTTGTATGACCCAAAGGCAGCCAAATGCAACTCCGGAAGCTATCATGATGCTACTATTTCCATTCTTGGTAACCGGGGAAGCTCAGACTTGGCTAAATTCGCTCCTTATCAACTCTATTACCACCTGGGAGGAATTAGTCAAGTAGTTCCTGAACAAGTTCTATCCGCCTAACAAGACTGCAAAACAGATTGATGACATATTGCAGTATAGGCAGCAACCCTCTGAGTCCTTGCAAGAAACTTGGGAAAGATTTAAAGGGATGTTAGTGAAGTGTCCTCACCATGGCATTCCAGACCAGATGCTCGGCCAGAGATTCTACATGGGGCTAGCTGACAATTTGAAAGCAAATGTGGATGCGTCATCTAGAGGTGCATTTTTAAGTAAAACATTCACTGAGTGCAAAATCCTTCTCGATAAGATATCACAAAATTCGGGGTGGATGACTAGAGGTACAACACTGGAACCATAGTGCATTAAGTTCCTCTTGACCCAAATAATTCGCATGCATAGAACATGGCCACACTCATGACCCAGATGAGCATATTGACAAAGAAGATTGATGAGATGGGTACAAAACAGGTGCACATTATTGATACAACAAATGGGGGACTGTGTACACCTTGTATTAATCAGTCATATGTGTGTTCATGGAGCGGAGAAGGTGAAAATCAAGGGGCAAGGGAAGATATGAATTATGTCAACAACTATGGAGGTTAGAGGCAAGGAGCACAGCAGTGGAGACCACAGCAAAATCAGTAGTACAAGCCTAATATGCAGCAGCCTGGGGGTATGCACCCTCAAAACCAATTGGTGCCAGTACCATATCAGAAACCACAGGGCTATCCACAACAAAATCAGCAACAATTGACATACCAACCACCCCCTCAGCAGCAAGATAACAACATGGTGGAAATCAGGGGTATGCTTCAGCAACTCATTGGGACAAATAATAAAGTGCAGGAAAAATTGGCAGTGCATGATTCAGCTATAAAGAATATTGAAACGCAGTTGGGTCAGCTGTCCATGGCTTTGAACATCCGTCCTCAGGGAACTTTGCCTGCAGACACAAATATAAACCCCAAGGACCAAAACCAGAATCAATTGATGGCAGTAAGTCTCCGGAATGGGAGAGATTTAGATAGAGAGCAGGAAATTGCACAAGCCAGAAAGGACACTACACCAACCACTCCAGTTCAATTAGAGGTAGAGGAACCAACAGAACTTACTGAAGTGGTGGTTGAGCAGAGTTAGGAGGAAAAAGGCAAAGAAAAGATGAATGAGCAAGTTGCAGAACAAGTGGCACCTCTTGTGCCAGAAAATTCTAACAGAGAGAAGCCAGCAAGCAATGCACAAAGGGTGATACCTGCACCCTTCCCTCAGAGACTGGTCAAACAAAAGACAACAGACCAATATAAGAAGTTCATGGAGATGCTGCGTCAAATTCAGTTGAATATTCCTTTGATGGATGCCTTGAGGGAGATGCCCGGTTATGCCAAGATGATGAAAGATCTAATGTCACGGAATTTTGATTTTCAGGATCTATCCATTGTAACTTTGACACAGACCTGCAGCGTAGTGGTGGCAAAACTGATAGCTCAAAAGATGTCGGACCCAAGTAGCTTCACTATTCCATGCACAATTTGAAGTTATGCCTTTGCAAAGGCGTTATGTGATTTGGGAGCCAGCATAAATCTGATGCCGCTGGCTGTGTACACCAAACTGGGCATTGGTAGAGCTAAGCCAACTTTGATGCTGCTACAGCTGGCTGATCGCACAGTGAAGAGGCCCACTAGTATTCTTGATGATGTATTGGTACAAGTAGGGAGATTCGTGTTCCCTGCAGACTTTGTTATCTTGGATTTTCAGGTGGATAAAGAGATACCCCTTACTTTACGGAGACCATTTTTAGCCACGGGGGAGAGCACTGATCGACTATGAAACTGGGGAACTAAAAATGAGATTGAACGATGAAGAAGTCATATTCAATGTTCAGCAATCTATGAGGAGGCATATTTTGATATTACTTTTGCAAGAAGAACAAGTGTGAGAGATCACCCAAAACATCATAGTTCTTATTCTCTTCTATTTTTCTTGCAATTTTCCATTATGAATATTTTCGTAGTTTATTCTTACGTTGTCATGAGTAGCTAAATACTTTAATCTAATGTTTTGGTGAAACCCGTTGGGGATGACTTGGTTGTTATATTAATATAGTTTGAATTGGTTGTTAATCTCTATTTGTTCATCTACGTTTTGATTGTGGTTAGTTGAAAGGGCCCTCAATTATCCGTTCCTATTTATTATGTATCTTCTTGAGAGAGTGTGCATATTTAGGTAGTTGTTTGAACAACATCACTTCCGGAGTACAGACGAGAGTCATAACCGAGGGTTTAGAGATTGGATTAGAGATAACGATACCTCGGGTGCAATCTAAAACAACGGTAATGTGAATCTAGCTAGTGTAGCTTGAGAGAGTGCGTCTAGTAAATTATCATAATTGCATGAGAGAGATTTATGATAGCCGGAGAGTTCTTGATTGATAGAGACAACTAAGGCATCGCTATAAGAAACGTACAACCAAGGAAATCACCAATGGGGGAAACCATTACCTTAGACCTTTTTCCAACAGTTTACACATCAAGCATAGTTAATTTTCAGCTATTAATTATTTTCAGACTTTAGTTGTTAGAAATATCATCAATTGTGAATTACAAGTTTGGGAAAATTGATTCTGTGAATTTAGTAAATCCGTCAAAAGTAATTGATAGGTTAATTCTCTGTGGTTCGACTCTGGGCAGAATTACTCAAATTATATTTGCTACGTCTGTGTGTGTCTTTGTATAAGGCATAGTTTGGCGTTATCAAATTTTGGCGTCGTTGTCGGGAACATAGTGAATATANCTGACGAATTTAGAAGAAATGGATGGTGAAGGGTTAGCTGAATGGGTCATGGCACTGGAAGGCTGAGGATTTTGGTCAAGGGAACCTCAGTTCGAGTCCCTTGAGCTAGAAAAAAGGGCCACTCCTCCAGCAAAGCCATCAATAGAGGAACCACCCAAGTTGGAACTGAAGCCACTCCTAGATCACATCAGGTATGTGTTCTTAGGCCTTGTTCTACCTTGCCTGTTATCATATCATACGGTTTGTTAGATGTGCAGGTAGAACAGCTCGTACAGGTACTGCAGGAAAACAAGACTGCCATTGGCTGGACCATGGTAGACATAAAGGGTATCAGCCCAGCCTTCTGTATGCATAAGATTCTCCTGGAAGAGGGGCACAGACCTTCCAGGGAACACCAGCGAAGGCTGAACCCAAACATAAAAGAGGTTGTAAAGAAATAAGTAATCAAATGGTTAGATGTGAGAATCATCTTCCCCGTCTCTGATAGTAATTGGGTCAGCCCTGTCCAATGTGTGCCGAAAAAGGAGGAATGACTGTTGTAAAAAATGAGAACAATGAGTTGACCTCAACTCGTATGGTCACAGGGTGGCGTATCTGCATGGATTACAGGAAATTGAACACAGCCACCCGGAAAGACCATTTCCCCTTACCTTTCATTGACCAAATATTGGACAGGCTGGCTGGGCGATCGCACTTCTGTTTCTTGGATGGATATTCGGGGTACAATCAGATATGCTCCCGAAGATAGAGAGAAAACGTCCTTCACCTATCCGTATGGAATCTTTGCCTTTCGGAGAATGCCTTTTGGGCTTTGCAATGCACACGCGACTTTTCAACGGTGCATGTTAGCCATCTTCACAGACATGGTAGAGGATATTATGGAGGTCTTTATGGATGATTTCTCTGTGGTGGGAGATTCATTCGAATACTATCTTCACAACTTAAGGAGAGTGCTAAAAAGATGTATGGAGACAAACTTAGTGCTAAACTGGGAGAGGTGCCATTTTATAGTACAAGAAGGTACAATCCTGGGGCATCGAGTGTCCAGTAAAGGAATTGAGGTCAACCATGCTAAGATTGACATGATTGAGAAGCTACCAACGCCCACTTCAGTCAAGGCGGTGAGAAGTTTTCTTGGACACGCTGGGTTCTACCAGCGTTTCATAAGAGATTTTTCCAAAATTGCTAACCCATTATGCAAATTCCTTGAAAAGGATCAGCCTTTTGTGTTTTCTAATTATTCCAGGTTGGCATTTGAGGAACTGAAGAATAGGTTTATCACTACACCCATCATTATTGCACCCAACTGGGAGCAACAATTTGAGCTCATGTGTGATGCCAGCGACTATGCTATAGGAGCAGTCTTGGGGCAGCAAAAAAATAAGTTGATGCACCCGATTTACTACGCAAGCAGAATGCTAAGCGGTGCACAGCTCAATTACATAGTGATGGAGAATGAGATGTTGGCGGTGGTGTTTGCGTTTGACAGGTTCCGATTATATCTGATTGGTTCCAAGGTAATTGTATACACTGACCATGCAGCACTCAAGTACCTAATTGAGAAAAACGAGTATAAGTCGCGCCTGATTTGTTGGGTGCTACTGTTGCAAGAATTTTGCCTCAAAATTCGTGACCGTAAGGGCACTGAAAATCAAGTCGTTGATCATCTATCGCGACTTGAAGGAGCTGAAAAATCAGTCGAGGTCGAAGAGATCCTAGAAACCTTTCCAGACGAGCAGCTGCTCGCAGCCAGTCTTGAGGATGCGCCATGGTATGCAGATTTTGCAAACTACCTGGCCTGCGGTATTGTTCCCTATGACCTTTCATCTGTCCAAAAGAAAAAGTTTTATCATGATTGCCGCATGTTTTATTGGGACGAGCCTTATTTGTTTAAAATTTGTGTTGATAATATGATCCGGAGGTGTGTCCCCGAGATAGAACAATCTTTNAATCTTCTATTTTGCAGGCTTGTCACGCATCAGCATATGGAGGACATTTTGGAGGAGCCAGGACAGCTGCGAAAGTGCTAGAGGCCGGGTTCTTTTGGCCAACAGTGTTTAGAGATGCACACCTATGGGTGAAGGGCTGCGACGAATGTCAGCGAACCAGGAACATTTCCCGTCTCCATGAGATGCTCATGAACCCGATTCAAGAGGTAGAGGTGTGATGTTTGGGGGATTGACTTCATGGGCCCCTTCGTCAGCTCATTTGGTAATAAATACATACTTGTTGCTGTGGATTACGTGTCTAAATGGATGGAAGCTGCAGCGTTGCCCACTAATGATGCAAGAGTGGTGATAGGTTTTGTGAAAAAAGAATATATTCACCTGATTTGGGATACCAAGAGCGATCATCAGTGATGGAGGCACTCACTTCTGTAACAGAGCCTTCG